TCTATCTATCTATCCATCTAGCTGCCACCCAACGTTTTATCTATCTTTGTATCTATCTATCTATCTATCGCTCTCTCTGTCTACCGTTCTATCTCTCTTTCTATCTATCTATCTATCCATCTATCCATCTAGCTGTCTATCCATCCTTCATATTATCTTTGTATCTATCTATTTAACTATCTATCTATCTGTCTATCTATCTATCTATCTATCCATCTATCCATCTATCCATCTATCTAGCCATCTATCTAGCCATCTATCCATCTATCCATCTATCCATCTATCCATCTATTCTATCTATCTATCTATCTATCTAGCTATCTATCTCATCTGTCTGTCTAACTGTGTATCGAGCTATCTACCCATCTACCTATCTATCTATCTGTCTCTCTGTCTGTCGTTCTGTCTGTCTGTCTATCTATATACCTGGCTATCTGCCAGCTTGAAAACCAAGCTATTCTGCGAGACTTCCTCATTTTTCGAAGTTGACAACATCAAAAACGAAGTAATTCTGCGAGACGTCCTCAATTTTCGAAGTAGACAACATCCAAAACGAAGCAAATTCTGCGAGACTTCTTCAATTTTTGAATTTGACAACATCAAAAACAAAGCAGTTCTGCGAGACCTCCTTCAAAAATGGAAAGTTGAGTGCAGCGCTGACGGCCTCGCACCAATGCGGTTTGCGATTTTTCCACTCCACCTGTCTAAAGTACTGCGCCTGCCACGAAAAATTGATGCCAGGTCAGACGAAGTGCTGAACCTGTCACGCAAAATCATCTTAGCAAACCGACAGATCTGATGCTCCAAAATGCAACCCCTCTCAGGAAATCAGCGCCCTGACCTCCTAACATCTCTGATGAACATGTCTTTTGTACTGCGCCTGCCACGGAAAATGCATCTTTGCAGATCCTGTTCAAATGTCCCACGCCTGCCATCGTTTTTGGAAATGCCACAAAACCCTCACGTTTTGCGCACTTTTAACAAGGTCCACAATCCCTTGCGCCTGCCACGCAAAACGACACCTGACGTCCAAAAGTGGCGCGAACATGTGGTGTTTTGTACATGTTGACTTCGAAATGTGCTTCACGCCACAACGGCGTGCACTTTTTCGACATCTCAACTTCCAAAAGTGGCGCTTTTTAGCACTGTGACTTCGACATGTGCTTCGGGCCACAACGGCGTGCACTTTTTCGACATCTCAACTTCCAAAAGTGGTCCGAACCCCTAGTGTTTTGAACATTTTGACTTCGAAATGTGCTTCGCGCCGCAACGGCGTGCAACTTTTCATCTCTCATCTGGCCAGCTGGCTCCGCACCCGCCGCTTTAGCGAGCCTACTTTTCGACCCTCCGGGGCCACAAATGATTGGAAAAACACAGTGTTTCGCGACTTTCCTACCTTTCCGCGCACCTGCATCTTCTTTCTTCTGACTCTTTCTCTTCTCTGATCTTCTCTCTTCTACCCTTTTCTTCTCACTGACTCTTCACATCTCTGCTTTTCATCTGTCCATATTGTCGGAAGTTTGACTTCTAAACTTCCTTCGATAATTTAACCCAATAACGTACAATATAACATAATATATTTTAAAATAATATCAGAAAAAATAAAAATATAATTGGATATAATATACTTTGATACAATACAGTATAATATACCAGTAGTACCGCACAAGGCGGTGGCGGAAGTTTTAAAAATCGGAAACCTATAATAGGAGAGGTTGGTTGTTGTGAATCACGGATGGCAGAGCGAATCCACTGGTGGACCGACAGATGGTTGGAGATGTGTTTTTTGGAATGGTTCCAATGGTTGCAGTGGTCACCTTACCACAACTGCTGGATGTAGTGTGGTGTAGTGCAGTTGTAGTTGCAGTTGTAGCTGTTGTTGTAGTGTAGTGGAGCTGTAGCTGTAACGTAGTGTAATTAATTTATTGGCAAGTGCAGTTGCAGTTGTAGTCGCGGTGTGGTGTAATTAGTGTAGTGTAGTGCAGTGTAATGTCGTGTAGTGTTGTGTAGTGTAGTGTGGTATAGTGTAGTGTTGTGTTGTGTAATGTAGTGTGGTTGTAGTTGTAGTTGCATTTGTAGTTGTAGTGTGCTGCAGTGTAATTAGCGTAGTGTAGTGTAGTTGTACTTGTAGTTGTAGTTGTGGTAGTAGTAGTTCTTGTAGTTATTAGTGTAACTCGTGTAATGTAGTGTAATTAGATGCAATTAGTGTAGTGTAGTGCAATTAGTGTAGTGTACTGTAGCGTGGTATATTTGCATTTCTAGCTGTAGCAGTAGTGTAGTGTAGTGGTAGTTGCAGTTTTAATTGTCTATCTATCTATCTACCTATCTATCTATCCATCTATCTATCAGTTTGTCTGCCTGTCTGTCTGCCTGTCTACCTGCAAGCTTGAAAACGCAGCAATTCTGCGAGACTTCCTCAATTTTTGAACTTGACAACGTCAAAAACAAAACAATTTTGCGAGACCTCCTCAATTTTTGAACTTGACAACGTCAAAAACGAAACAATTTTGCGAGACCTCCTCAGTTTTTGAACTTGACAACATCAAAAACGAAACAATGCCGCGAGACATCCTCAATTTTCGAAGTTGACAACATCAAAAACGAAACAGTTCTGCGAGACTTCCTTCAAACATAGAAAGTTGAGTGCAGAGCTGACGGCCTCGTACCATCGCGGTTTGCGATTTTTCCAGTCCACCTGTCTAAAGTGCCTGCCACGAAAAATTGATCTGTCGGGCAAAATCATCTTAGCAAACCGAAAGATCTGATGCTCCAAAATGCAACCCCTCTCAGGAAATCAGCGCCCGGACCTCCTAACAGCTCTGATGAAGATGTCTTTTGTACTGCGCCTGCCACGGAAAATGCATCTTTGCAGATCCTGTTCAAATGTCCCACGCCTGCCATCGTTTTTGGAAATGCCACAAAACCCTCACGTTTTGCTCACTTTTAACAAGGTCCACAATCCCTTGCACCTGCCACGCAAAACGACACCTGACGTCCAAAAGTGGCGCGAACATGTGGTGTTTTGTACATGTTGACTTTTGACTTCGAAATGTGCTTCGCGCCACAACGGCGTGTACTTTTTGAACATCTCAACTTCCAAAAGTCCTCCAACATATAAAAATGATATATATATATATATAATAAAATGAAATGAAATATAATATGTTTTTATTTAAAATATAATATATATATATATAAATAATTTAATAATATAATAAAATACAATATAATATAATATTATGTTATATTATATTATATTACATTATATTACATTATATTATATTTTGAATAATATAATATAATATAATAATATGTAATAGAATATAATATAATATACAGTAATATGATAAAATATAATATTTTAATAATAAATAATGTAATAATAAATATTTTAGATAATATAATATAATAAGAATTACTTTACTTCGTGTGATCCCCACCATGACATTTATACATTTTCTTACTGGCAAATCTTCTGGCATTCTATCTAACATATCTTCTGACATTCTATTTGGCATTCTATCTGACATATCTTCTGGCATATGATCTGGCATATCTTCTGGCATTCTATCTGGCAAATCTTCTGGCATTCTATCTGGCATATCTTCTGGCACTCTATCTGACATATCTTCTGCCATTCTATCTGGCATATCTTCTGGCATATATTCTGACATATCTTCTGGCATTCTATCTGACATATCTTCTGGCATATATTCTGACATATCTTCTGGCATATCTTCTGGCATATCTTCTGGCATATATTCTGACATATCTATCTGGCATATCTTCTGCATATTTTCTGGCATTCTATCTGCACTCTTCTGCATTCTATCTGGCATATCTCTGGCAAATTCTATCTGGCATATCTTCTGGATATATTCTGACATATCTTCTGGCATCTATCTGGCAATTCTATTTGCATTCTATGCTGTCATATCTTCTTCCTGGCATATCTTCCTGCCATTCTTTCTGACATTCTTTCTACTAAACTTTTCTTCTGCACATTCCTTTGTTCCTATCTTCCTAACATGAGGCCGACAGGCCACTTGGCGTGGAATACTCGCGTTGAGGTCCGCAGGGAAACACTGGGGCGTGAATGGTCGTGGGTGGATGTCCCGGCAGAGTAACCTGATGGATCGCGGGGTCGCAGTTGGACCGAGGGACGACGAGGACGACGAGGAAACGACGAGACGACGAGGACGACAAGGACGACAAGGATGACAAGGAGGACGAGGAGGACGAGGAGGAGAGGAGGAGGAGGAGGAGGACGAGGCAGGAGGAGGCAACTGACATAAAATCTAACAACCCTCACCTGGCAGGTTGGGAAAAAATAAAATGTAATAATATAAAATATATGATTGGGTAAAATATGATATAATAAAATATTGTAAAACATGTTATTGTATTATATTATATGAGTACTCTAAATTATAATATATTAAACTATATTATGCTATGTTATATAATGTGATATTATCAAATATGATATAATATTAATAATAAATGGCAAGCAAGACATAACTGCAACACAACATGTCACGACCATTTACCAAAGCAAAGGGTTGTGTCATTTTCGACATTTGTCAGACCACCTGGACCTGGCCGACCGGTTTTCTAAGTAAGCCGTGATCAAAAGGTCTTGCCTTTCTGAAGGCGCTAACCGCTAAGGGAATGCTTACGCCGGAGCTTACGCGCCCACAGCTTCAGCTTGCGCGCGCGAATACCTTACGCTGATGCTTGCGCGGGCTTACGCAGACCAGGTTTCGCTTAAGCGAGGTCCTCATCGCCTCTCCCTTCCTAAAAATGAATAGCTGGGTTTTGAACGTGGCTCAAATTTTCTAGCCCTGTAATGGATAGCATTACAACAGTCCGGTCAGAGAAGCAGGAAGGAGAACTTGCCAACAACAGACTGGCAAACCTTTTGTTTGTTTCATGGGCAGAAACAGCATTGGTTGCCCGGTTCCACATACTTTGAAACAAACCTTCTTGTGCCAAGCAGCATCACCTATCACGCCAGCACTGGTGACAAAAACCAACTCCAAGTGCTCTTGGCTGGACAGGAGGAATTCGAATAGACACCAAACTCCTCAGCACGGAAATGTCTGCTATTTTGGGAGTTTGGACGGACGTGCCACGAAATAGAAAAAGAGTGCGACAATGACAAGTACATTACAATATATCTGAATCCCTGCACTTCGTGACATGCCCCACACTTGGTCGAGTCACTTGTGAGAGGCTGCACTTCCTGGTCCAAGACCATCGCAACCCCTTTGATTCCGCCTCTCAATGCGCGTGCAAAGTTGCTCTGCATGGGGTCACTTCCCACTGCGGCTCCGATATCCCACTGGTTGTTCGCCTGGGCAAAATTCTCAACTTGAACAAGGAAACACATCTTTCACAGATCTTCAAAACGCTTGATGGCCCGTCTCACACGTAGGAGAGTGGAACACGTCCCCTGTTTGGCCACAAAGGTTCAAAAAGATGTCCAGGATAGAGGTTCACCTACCCACAGCAGTCACGTATGCTCCGCTGCCGCGATTCTTAAACAAACATAAAACAGTGGTGATGGGCCCGTGTTCTCCTCCAAGTTGCAAATGAGCAGATCCAATATGCTGCATCAATCCAAGAAGTGGAGCCCTCTTTGGACATAGCATGGCATTGGATGGAACGCACGAAGTGCGGAAAACTGGTGCCCCAGGAATGAGACCTTAACCCAAACGCAAGGAAGGCTTTCAGCGGCTTGGACTGAAGGTGCACAAACGTCAAACAAAAAACAATTCAATAAACACTTCGCCGAGCAAATGCCAAGTGACACAAAATATTTCACTCGCCTGCCGCCCCACAGTGTTACAAAGGAAACCTCTCTGCTTTGCGTCAGGGGCGTCACTATGTTGGCAACTACAAAGTGCATATTGCGCTCCAGAATAAAACCTGACTTCGGCAAGTCGGAACATGGGTTTTCTCTTATACAATCCAAAGATAAACTATATCCAATCTGCCCACTCAGATCCAAGCATTCACACGGAAACAAACCATGTGAACAAAAAAATACAATGTGGTTGAGCCAAAACTTCCACAATACATCACAGTACAAAAATTATGGATCAACAGAAAAAAATGCTGGTCAGAACAAAGAGGCTCTCGAAGTGCTCCCACAAGCCGCGCAAAATTAACACCTCCAAGCCCTGGTTGACAGGATGGGCTGCATCAGGCCCCGTGAACGGCTTGCAGTTGATCTGCGTCCGGTATTCATCCAAAGCCTCCGAAAATGACGTTCCACGATATAGACGTCGGATCAGCCACGCCACCGGCAAATGCAGCAATGACGCAACAGTAACCAGAGGAAAGGTAACATATATTGCTGTAACCTCGGCCAAGAATTTCTTTGCCGGCCAAACGAAACAAAAGACAGCACTTAAACTTGCAAAACAACAAAACTGTGTACCAAAACAGCTCTTTGCAAGCCAAAGCGACGAAAACATGTCCTACACCGTTTCCGGATGTGACTGCTACCTTGATGATGACAGGTAGCATCGCGCTCACTGATATGCATGCAGTGAGCAAGCCGAGCAAGTAAAAGTAATCAGCGGCGTGCAAAGAACCCTTGCACGACGCACAGTCAAACAGTGGATTCGTGTCTTGCAGCAAAAGCTTTCTGCGCGCAATAGTGCGAACTTTGATTGCATTGGACTTCTTCTGATCATAGTCTAGCCAGATCAACCCTGTTCCCTTTGCCCGATACTGCACCCGCTGGTGCACCAAGCGAGACAGGCTTTTGTGAAGATCAACGATTGGGCCTTGCACAGCAAGCATGAAAATCCTCTTGCTTTTTGCTTGTGTCGGATCTTCCAAAGCTGACTTCGCATCAACGATCACCAAAGGAGCATGCAAAATCTCGAAGATGAGGAAGGTCAAAATGACGACCGCGGCTGCACCTGTCGAAAGTATGATAAGCTCCCTCTTTTTGCGTGGTAGCACATGGCAAACGTCTTTGTTCCCATCAGACCAAGCAATGAAGACACCACACTTCGAGCAGTCACCATTCTGAAAGTGGAAGTGTGGCTTGCCTCAGCTACTAAGTGCTCAGTGGGTGCCCGGGTTGAAAAATAAACGACCGGAAAGAACACCGCAAAAAGTCATTAATGATCGTTATGTGCTAATCTTTGCACTGTATTGTCAATTGACCCACTGAAAGACAAGTTGCAGAACATGCACGTCTGGAAAATACTTTCCAATGGCACCATATCGACATCGCGGAAGCGCTGAGATACAATCCTTCCATCTGGCATTTGCAGGCTCCAAGGTGAAAGTGTGATTTTATATGGTTTATTTGTCTGAAAACTGGATGCTTTCCAAACCGTCCGAAGGGATGGCTTATTTGCATGGCTTACTCTCTACGAGTACTCATCTGGTGGCTGATTTGGCTTTCAAAACCAGTCAGGAAAACCGGTCAAGAGGGAAGTTATAAACAAAGTAAACGAAACCAGTGAGCTGAGAGTCAGGTAGTTCGGACACTTGCAACGTTGCGTCAAGCCTTTTGACCTCAACATGGTTTCCAGGAATTGCAAAGCCAATAACGCAATGAGACTGCCATGACAACAGATTGACAGGAAAACTGATTTAGCGAAAGAGAGAAGAATTGGGGCGATTGAAGACTTTGGAATGGAATCTGTACTGGCGAATTTGAAAAAATGAAGGGGCCTCACTCCTGGCCGTTCTGTGTTCACCTGTTCGGGCGCCAAGTGGCACTGTGGCAGTCTTGGAGCACTGGAGATGTTCAGAGCTCACGGCTTTTAGAGTTCCGTCCTTCGTGGCGTTGAAAGTGATGCCCCAGGTGCAGTTCCGGCAGGAAACGGCCAACGACTCGATCTCGAAGCCGTCCTGTCGGGACTTGAGCCTATCAAAACAACTGAAAGCCAAGTTGCTTCTGATTTCTGATATCGAATCGAACTTTGCAAAACAAAAGCCATCTAGCAAAAGTATGAAAATTAATGCATTTTACCAAAAGAATATACAGATTAGACGTATGCTGTGATTTGATGGTATCTTATGTATGATGCTTTAGACCAGCAGACCCACCAGAGCTCATACATTGAGATCGTACACATGGAATGCCAAAAACAACAAGTAGAGTTAGAGTTTTCACGCAATAGGTGCTTTGGGTCAAGAACGACTGTACAGGGAAGCGACAATGTCACGCCTAAGTCATGCTTAGCGTGTTTTTAAGTAGCATTTACCATTGTAAACGCTGTATCCAAGAAGTCATGCCTAAGTCATGCCTAAATGCTTTTCCGCATGGAACGCTGTCCTCAACAAAAGTGTAACCATGCACTTTAGACATTAAAAACAAACGAAACACAATGGAACGCGATTGATGAAAATATTGATTTTTCTACTCTCTTATAGTGTCATTCTCGTGTGCAACCTGCATGTCAACGCTGGGATTCTGCATCGTTATTTTTCTATTCTCTGGGTCACTTCGGCAAATTGTCAGGCAATTTCGGCTTATAGAAGCTTGAAATTCAACAAGATGGAAGCCAAGAACCCAACGACGACAGCTTGCACAAAGGACTTCCCAGTACTACTTTGTACTACAAAGCTTGCACAAAGTCCTTCCCAGTACTACTTTGTACTACAAAGCTTGCACAAAGTCCTTCCCAGTACTACTTTGTACTACAAAGCTTGCACAAAGCACTTCCCAGTACTACTTGTACTACAAAGTTTACACAAACTACTTCCCAGCACTACTTTGTACTACAAAGCTTGCACAAAGCACTTCCCAGTACTACTTTGTACTACAAAGCTTGCACAAAGTACTTCCCAGTACTACTTTGTACTACAAAGCTTGCACAAAGTCCTTCCCATTACTACTTTGTACTACAAAGCTTGCACAAAGAACTTCCCAGTACTACTTTGTACTACAAAGCTTGCACAAAGCACTTCCCAGTACTATTTTGTACTACAAAGCTTGCACAAAGTCCTTCCCAGTACTACTTTTGTACTACAAAGCTTGCACAAAGCACGTTCCAGTACTACTTTTTACCACAAATCTTGCGCAAAGCACTTCCCAGTACTACTTTGTACTACAAAGCTTGCACAAAGTTCTTCCCAGTACTACTTTGTACTACAAAGCTTGCACAAACTACTTCCCAGTACTACTTTGTGCTACAAACTGACATGACAACCTGCTTGGAAACCTTCGAGAAGGAGAAGTTTTGCAGCTTCCCCCAAAGACACGGCGACGCCACAGGAAAACCAGAGACTCGAGACGAGACACGTGGGCGCAGCAAAACGAGCATTTCGTGCGAGACTTCCTCCAATTTTGACACTTTCGACACGTTATCAAAATCATCAAATCACCAGCTCAACGCCATCTTACCTATAACTAATCAACATACCCACAACCTGGAATTCCTAAAACAGGTACGACTTTGTCAGATGCCTGTATAATCTTTTGTCGATCATTGCCAAACTGAAAAACAAGATATTACAAACACACCTGGGGTTGCACGGTAGTTTGCAGAAAGCCACAAACTTGATGTGTGGGAGGAAACGACCGAGACATTGCCTTGCAGATTTGCAATGACACTGACACTGACACCCTCCAGCCCATCCTTGGCAGCTAGGACCTGCAAATTGTGGACAGGTGGCTCGTAATCGACACTCACTTGGTCGACCACCACAGAGCTTGGGCGGGTGCTGAGCAACGCGCTGGACCAGGAGCGCAAATGGATCCCTGAGAGACGTACCTTCTCCTTCGGGCAGGCTGCAAGGGAAAGAAAACCTGAGCTCAAGCGACCACTGGCGTTGAAGGCTGCATCCTCTGCAACATGGAAGGTGCTGTTTAAGCAAAGGGCAGAGCATCCACTGTTCTTGAGTTCCACCCCATGGCCGCCGACGACACCTTCAAAAAGAGCCTGCGACCGATCACGCAGGTGGAGGCAGCTTGCTGCTAGCACGCTGGACTTGCCGAGACCTTGGGCATGTTTCACCACCAAAGTAGACTGTGCTGAAAGAAGCACTAGACCATCTGCACGACCTCCGGAGCCTGATCCGGCTGCAGTGGAGTTGCCGATGGACATCGAGCTTCCGTGTAAGAACAGCCTAAGAGCTGCAAAAGCACCACCATCTGCCCCTGCATGGGTGCTGAACATGGCCGCAGTAGACGCCTTAAAAACTGCCACTCCTTCTGCGCAAAACCCTGCACCAAACTGCTGGGCCCTGGCATCTTGGATGCCGACTGTGGAACTGCTGATCAACGTCCTGCCTCTGGCATAGAATCCTCCTCCAGACTTTCCAGCAAACGCATTCCGAACGATGAGTCTTGAGCCCGTGGACACCTTCAAGCCCTTTTCAGTGGCAAGACCTCCCCCGCTTCCAAATTCAGCGCGGCTGTTGGAAATGTTGATTGTAGAGTTTCCAGCTATCTCAACCCCTCCAAGGGCATCCAAACCTCCTCCAAAATTTTGCGCAGTCACGTTCTGAAGGCTGACACATGAGCTTTTGGTAACTTGCAAGCGCCCGTCACTGTGGAAGCCCCCCCCCAACCTCGATCTTGAATTGGAAATCCTGATGCTTGACATTTCATCAATGACAACCTCCTCAGCTGCAGCAAAACCTCCACCGTACTTCGGGGCCCTGGTATTTTCGATGCTGACTGTGGAACTGCTGATCAACGTCTTGCCTCTGGCAAAGAATCCTCCTCCATGCATTCCAGCTGTCGCATTCCGAATGATGAGTCTTGATCCAGTGGACACCTTCAAGCCCTTGTCAGTGCGAAAGCCTCCCCCATCTGATTCAGCGCGGCTGTTTGACATGTTGATGGTTGAGTTCGCAGCTACCTCAACCCCTCCAATGGCAATGAAACCTCCTCCATGACTTCCAGCAGTCATGTCCAGAAGGCTGACAACTGAGCTGTTGGTCACCTGCAAGCTTCCGTCCGTTTGGAAGCCTCCACCCTGCCCTGCCGATCTCGAGTTGGAAATGCTGACGCTTGACATCTTGTCAATGATAATTTCGTCGAGTGCCACAAAACCTCCACCATACTGCCGGGCCGTGGCATGATGAATGCTGACTGTGGAACTGCTGATGGAAATCCTGCCTTTGGCATAGAATCCTCCTCCAAACTTCCCAGCTATCACATTCCTAATGATGAGTCTTGAGCCAGTGGACATTTTCAAGCCCTTTTCAGTGTCAAAACCTCCCCCATTTCCTGATCCAGCGCGGCTGTTGGAAATCTTGACCGTCGAATTCCCAGCTATCTCAACCTCTCCAATGGCAAGGAAACCTCCTCCATGGTTTCGAGCAGTCACATTCTGAAGGCTGACGACTGAGCTGTTGGTCACCTGCATGGCTCTCACGGTTGAGAAACCTCCTCCATACTGTCCCGCTGTCGCATTCCGAATGATGAGTCTTGAGCCCGTGGACACCTTCAAGCCCTTTTCAGTGGCAAAACCTCCCCCGTCTCCCGATTCAACGTGGCTGTTGGAAATGTTGACCGTGGAGTTCCCGGCTATCTCAACTTTTCCAAGGGCATCGAAACCACCGCCAAAATTTTGCGCAGTCATGGTTTGAAGGCTGACAACTGAGCTGTTGGTCACCTGCAAGCGCCCTTCCGTCAGGAAGCCTCCGCCGCTTCCCGATCTTGAATCGGAAATGCTGACGCTTGACATCTCATCAATGACAGCTTCGTCAGCGGACACAAAACCTCCACCGTACTTCGGGGCCCTGGTATTTTCGATCCTGACTGTGGAACTGCTGATCAACGTCTTGCCTCTGGCAAAGAATCCTCCTCCATGCATTCCAGCTGTCGCATTCCGAATGGTGAGTCTTGAGCCGGTGGACACCTTCAAGCTCATTTCGGTGCCGAAACCTCCCCCATTTCCTGATCCAGCGCGGCTGTTGGAAATCTTGACCGTCGAATTCCCAGCTATCTCAACCTCTCCAATGGCAAGGAAACCTCCTCCATGGTTTCGAGCAGTCACATTCTGAAGGCTGACGACTGAGCTGTTGGTCACCTGCATGGCTCTCACGGTTGAGAAACCTCCTCCATACTGTCCCGCTGTCGCATTCCGAATGATGAGTCTTGAGCCCGTGGACACCTTCAAGCCCTTTTCAGTGGCAAAACCTCCCCCGTCTCCCGATTCAACGTGGCTGTTGGAAATGTTGACCGTGGAGTTCCCGGCTATCTCAACTTTTCCAAGGGCATCGAAACCACCGCCAAAATTTTGCGCAGTCATGGTTTGAAGGCTGACAACTGAGCTGTTGGTCACCTGCAAGCGCCCTTCCGTCAGGAAGCCTCCGCCGCTTCCCGATCTTGAATCGGAAATGCTGACGCTTGACATCTCATCAATGACAGCTTCGTCAGCGGACACAAAACCTCCACCGTACTTCGGGGCCCTGGTATTTTCGATCCTGACTGTGGAACTGCTGATCAACGTCTTGCCTCTGGCAAAGAATCCTCCTCCATGCATTCCAGCTGTCGCATTCCGAATGGTGAGTCTTGAGCCGGTGGACACCTTCAAGCTCATTTCGGTGCCGAAACCTCCCCCATTTCCTGATCCAGCGCGGCTGTTGGAAATCTTGACCGTCGAATTCCCAGCTATCTCAACCTCTCCAATGGCAAGGAAACCTCCTCCATGGTTTCGAGCAGTCACATTCTGAAGGCTGACGACTCAGCTGTTGGTCACTCCCAAGCGTTTTCTGGTGGCAAAGCCGCCTCCGTATTCGGTGGATCTGGCATTCTGAATAAAAATCATTGAGTTGTCCTGATCCAGTCAGGAATGGCACAAGGACCGACGTCTTCGAAAGACACATTGTCTTTTGACAACATGCCCCTGAAAGGGGAAAAATCCCGTGGGGTGAATGTCAAACGCCATGGTTGAGACTGCTTCCATCCCCAGTATGGCAGCGGATGAACTGAGTGCCCGACAGAAATGTAGACATTTCCCTTGACATGGAAGCCAGCACCATACTTCGCTGAAATGTTCTCGATTACGATTTCAGAATCTTGGAAAACACTCCTTAGATTCAAGGAGAAAAGCAGAACAGCAATTTAATCATCGTGCCAGACATCTTAGTAATAAAAAATAAAAAAGATGCTGGCTCTATGCCCACAAGCAAAACACAATGAAACCGCAGAAAGTGCCACCTTCCCAAAAATGGAAGGCGACCATCGGTACCAAATTTTCGTAGGCGAAACGAGCCGCCTTCCAAATCACCCCGTACGCACCACAACAGAGTAGCATCCTTTACGCCAGAAACACCACTCATGTTCCGGCCGCAGGCAAACCTGCATATCCTTCTCAATGGATTAAAACCCTGGTGCATGGTGAACCCCACCATTTTACGGAAAAAATGAATCGTCCGAAAAAAGTTTGACTCGCCCGAAAAAATACGTCGAGTGATCCCGGCCTTCTATCTGGCATCTATATTCTGGTATCTACTCTAGGATTTTACCTGGCATCTGACATTCTATCTGGCATTCTCTCTGACATTCTCTTCTGGCATTCTCTCTAGCGAGTCCGGCGGGGACCACTCTGATCCTGGGCTTGCTGTTCGGGTCCGGCAGGGACCGCTGCGATCTCGCGAATGCAGTTGAGGTCCGGCGATGACCCCTCTCATCCTGGGCCTGCTGTTCGGGTCTGGAAGGGACCCTGCGATCTCGCGCTTGCAATTGAGGTCCGGCAGGGAACACTCTGATCTTGGGCTTGCTGTTCGGGTCCGGCAGGGACCACTTGCATCACGCGCTTGCTGTGGATGTCCAGCGGGGAACGCTCTATTGGGTTTGCTGTTCGGGCCCGGCAGGGACCACTGCGATCACGAGCTTGCAGTTGAGGTCTGGCGGAGGAGGAGAAGGAGGACGAAGAGGAGGAGGAGGAGAAGGAGGAGGAGAAGGCCAGCTGACATAAAATCTAACAACCCTCACCTGACAGGTGGGGAAGTAATACCAGGAGATACGGAGGTGCCCCCCAAAAAGCAAGCAACTCCGAGCAGTTTCCAGCTCATGTCATGGAACAACACAAACATTCAAGCCTGCTTGCTCAAATCCAGCTTCTTCGACAAAATCAACGTCTGTAACACCTCCATTCTCGCCATGTTGATAAAATGGAATCCTGGACCACATGCTCCCAAATTGAGTTGGATAGTAGTACCAGTAGTACCGCACAAGGCTGTGGCGGAAGTTTCAAAAATAGGAAACCTATAGGAGAGGTTGGTTGTTGTGAATCAGGGATGGCAGAGCGAATCCACTGATGGACCGAAAGGTGCTTGAGGTCTCCCACTCTTTCTCGCTCTTTCTCTCACTATCTACCTACCTACCTATCTATTTTCTATGTATCTATCTATCGATCTATCTCTCTCTCTCTTTCATCTAATTATCTACAAAGTGGTGCCTGCGAGTTATAACTCATGTTATAAGTATGGTTAAGTTGATTTATAAAAGGGGTTAACCTATGTTATAACTATACGTAACTGATGTTAGAGATATATCTTAGTTATGAAGATACAACATAGTTTAAGTAACTTAAGTGGAAAACTTAAAAATAAGATATGGGGAAGTTAGCGAACTTAGGTTTTGCTATGTTATTTTTTGAATTTGTATATGTTGATTGGGAATTCCAATGATGTGTGGTACACATGAAGCTGTTTTGTCTCAAGTTTGTGTCGAAAGTAGCATTTTGAGGTAGGCGATGGCAAATGTGGCTGTTGGAGCAGATGCATTGCAGCCTTTAGCTGCTGCAACTGTTAGGCAGGAAATGCAGAATTGGGTCTCATTTCCGAATTTTTGGTTGGCTCATGAGGAGAATTGGGACATAAATGTTTCAATGTTGTATGCAATATGTATTCCAATGGAAAACGCTAAAAAACACAATGTGTTCTAAATGTGTTCTAATGTGTTCTATACATCCGAAATATACTTAAATTTGTAGTTAGAACGCGTATGTGTTCCACCTCAAACCCCAAAAAACACTGGAAACGCGTATGTGTTCTGTACAAAACCATGTAGAACGCATATGTGTTCCTACACTCCCGATAAGAACGCGTTTGTGTTCCACCACTATCATAAATGTGTTCTCTGCAGCCGTCTCTCGCACCAAAAACACATTCCATTTCTGAGAGAGATGTTGCACCACCGCAGCATTTTTTCACATCCTCAAGTTGTCCTGATCCCATACCGGTGCAGTGACATGGCAGCCATGGATGAGACGCTGGCGGCCACGCAGCTGGTGGCGCCCAAGCCATCCAAATTACGTTTTCTGCATGCCTTGAGAGAAAAAAAGGTGCTCGCGCCATGACTCCAACCTCAAACCGTTAAATTCATCGTGAAAACCATTAAATTTAGCCCTAAACCGCAATTTCAACAAACAAAAAACTTAGCGAACTTATAAGATAGATATAACTTACTTTATAACTTCTCTAACTTAAGTTATGTTAACTTCAACCTATCTTCGGTAACTCAATTATAAATTACATAACTTCATCTTATCTTGCAGGCACCACTTTGTATCTATCTATCTATCTATCTATATCTATCTATCTATCTATCTATCCATCCATCTATCTATCTATCTGTGGAGTGTAGTTGTGGTTGTAGTGTTGTGGAGTGTAGTGTAATGTAGCGTAGTGGAGTGTAGTGTAGTGTAATGTAGTGTAGTGTAGTGTAGTGTAGTGTAGTGTAATTTAGTGTGGTGGAGTGTAGTGGAGTGTAGTGGAGTGTAGTGGAGTGTAGTGGAATGTAGTGGAGTGTAGTGGAGTGTAGTTGTATTTGTAGTGTAGTGGAGTGTATAGTGTAGTGAAGTGTAGTGGAAGGTAGCGTAGTGTAGTGTAGTGTAATGTAGTGTAGCGTAATGTAGTGTAGTGTAATGTAGTGTAGCGTAATGTAGCGTAGTGTAGTGGAGTGTAGTGGAGTGTAGTGGAGTGTAGTTGTGTAGTTGTAGTTGTAGTGTAGTGGAGCGTAGTGTAGTGTAATGTAGTGTAGTGTGGTGTAGTGGAAGGTAGTGTAGTGTAATTTAGTGTAGTGGAGTGTAGTGGAGTGTGGTGGAGTGTAGTGGAGTGTAGTGGAGTGTAGTTGTGCAGTTGTAGTTGTAGTGTTGTGGAGTGTAGTGTAATGTAGTGGAGTGTAGTGCGGTGTAATGTAGTGTAGTGTAGTGAAGCGAAGCAAGCGACATCTGAACCTCCAAAAGTGGTCCGAACTCCTGGTGTTTTTAACATGTTGACTTCGAAATGTGCTTTGCGCCACAACGGCGTGCACTTTTTCAACATCTCAACTTCCAAAACTGCTCCGAACCCCTCAGTTTTTAACGCATTTTACTTCCAAATGTGCTTTGCGCCACAACGGGGTGCACTTTTTCAACATCTCAACTTCCAAAACTGCTCCAAACCCCTCAGTTTTTAACAGATTTTACTTCCAAATGTGCTTCGCGCCACAACGCCGTGCACTTTTTCAACATCTCAACTTCCAAAAGTGGTCCGATCCTGAGGTGTTTTGTACCTTTTCACTTCGAAATCGGCTTCGCGCCACAACGGCGTGCAACTTTTCATCTCTCATCTCCCCAGATGTCTCCGCACCTGCCGCTTTAGCGAGCCTACTTTTCAACCCTCCGGAGCCACAAAACCACGAAAAAAAAGTGCTTCGCGACTTTCCTACCTTTTCGCGCACCTGCATCTTCTTTCTTCTGATCTTTTCTCTTCTGACTCTTCTCCCTGCTGACTGCTTCTTTCATCTCTCCATATTGTCGGAAGTTTGACTTCGAAACTTCCTTCGATTACTGTATTTCTTATTGGATCAAAAATTCTCACATGCCATCAGGTCCCATTGCATCTCACTGCATCTCGCTGCATCCCACCGCATCTCACAGCCCAACAACATTCAATGACCACATCTGCTCCCTACTATGCCACCCAAGATCAGGTCTCCATCAGCGGCGAAGCCACCGCCGCTCACGGCTGCGGCGCCCCTCACCTTCGTTGGATGTTGCAGCATCCCAACTTCGTGTCCACAGCCATTGTTCAACAGCTTACTCTGAAGTTAACCAAGGCGTTCCAAGCCCATGCGGTTTCAATAGTTCCTTTCGAACACAAAAGATCAAACACCTGGTTGAAAGACAAGTCCAAGGAGCTGTCAGATGGGATCTGGTCAAAGTGAATGACCCGTTGCTGAAAAAGGCGCCACCAGACTCGGTAGAGTTTGGATCGGATAGACCTTCATGCCACGCTTCCACGTGAGCATCTGCAAAGTTCACAGTCCTCAGTTGAATCCTTCACGGTCTCACACGGCACCCTGAACTCTGCATAAAATAAATCCGAACTCCCCCATTCTGATTGTATCTTTTTGCAGATTCTATAAGAAAAGAAAATCGTTTGTGATGCACTATAAAATAGTAACATATAATTAATATGATATAATAACAGCCACAAATAGTTCTGGACTCGCTGTTCGCTAGGTACAACCTCTCGTGCAGGCAAGGTTCTTGGCTGCCAGGCGGAGAGAAGTCATCTGAATTTGCCTTGGGAGCTGCGCGAAGTTTCTGCACCGATTAATTATATCCATGGAATCTAACGGGTGTCAAGGGTCAAACTACATCCGTTGAAGGAACTTTGGAAGATGCTCTGAAAGAACAACAAAGCTTGCCAAGCACTTCTAGATGACCAAGCAGGTCCGCGACCAAACTTGGCTCAGAACCATCATGGAATCAGACATGATTTCCTCTAAGGCACCCGGTGATGCGTAGCTCCCCGGATGTCAAGGTCAGAATCCCCGCTGCGGCAGGCCGGAGCTGCGCAGGCGCCCCGTGGCGCCCGTGGGGCCCTTGCAGCTCGCAGAGTGGAGCTGCCACGGTGGGCCTCAGTCGTAGTTCCACCAACTGCTCCAATAATATATTGAGCATATATGCTCCAATCCGAGCTTTCTTGCAGGACTCCTCTATAGCTAGCGGATATTTGCACAAAGTCAGGTTCAAGGCTTGGGAAAAATGGGAAAAGAGCGCAACTGACACTTCTGAATTTCTCACAAGCAAGCGCTGCATGTCTTCACCAGGACTGTTAAACACAGAGCATCTGATGTTCAGTGCAGCGCATTGCTCCCTACATCTCAAAAATTCCCGAAACAACTCTGTCCAGCTCTGTCCATGCTCTGTCCAAACAATTAGGCAACCTGCAACAAACCCGCAAGCATCACACTCCTCCGATCCGCTGTCACCAAGCGACTGGAGTTGAAAGCACGACCCGGCCGTCAACTTTTTCCGTTCACAAAGTTCGGCCCAGCCAATCACCTCACAGTCGTGCAAGCAGGAACTGTGCAACTCGGTGATGTGTCTCTCCGGTCCGCTTGGAATGTCATTATCAAACTTGATTTATAACACTTTAGTATAGGATTTTCCAGGAATTCAGAAGGAAAACTACTTGAACCTCACAAGACATCGGTTTTCCGTGAGGCAAGGCCTGCCTGCAAACGCCTGGCACCCGCTCCACTTCCCGGTTGGGGCACAGGGTGGCTACCTTCCAGTGCCCCGGAGTGAATCAAGCAGTCCAATCGGAAAACGCTGGGACTTGGAGTTGCGAGTTGCAAAGACCGCAAGGTAGATATTGTGGCAACATAACATATCTATAGTTTTCCGTTGCAGTCTAACATGCAGTGACATGCTATGCAATCTCCACGATTGACGAAGCAGAATCCTTGCTTCCAGACAAACGGCTTGGCCAAGCGCAGCTGAGGTGCTCTGCTGTCCGGTGAACTGCTTCGAGACACGCAGCTCAGCAGAGGCAAGAACGAAGAGAAACGTCGCCAGGAGCAATTGCATCATCCCGCATCATGACGCGTCACGCGGCATACTGTGGTTCTTTTTGTAGATAAAAAATGCAACTAAGCACCATTACTTTAGCAAGTGCAATGTGCAGGCGTTGTACTCACCGTACAGTTTGAATGCTGCATCCTGTTGTTCAATATTCTGTCATGGATCATGTTTGTGTGCTTATCTGGCTGATTCAGCTGGTGTAGCTGTTTATCAAAAAAATCCGGTCAGGCAGGTAAAGCATGTAGGCAAACGTTGTTCATGAGCAATGCTAGGAAACCGTTGAGTTTCAAAGCATTGAGCCGCACGCGGCATGCACATGTCAACCGCAAGAGCCCATAGAGGATGGTGGAAGGGCAGATTGACCCTTTCCAATGAAACTTCAGGCAGTCGGCCCAGAGACGACCCTCACAACCATTGGTAAAACACAAGGAAGAATAAGGATGCAGGAGGATATGATAATCGTGGTGCTGGGTGTTTTAGATGATGACCAGGGCCCTAAAGAGATGCTTGCCGCCAGTGTCAGCACAAACTTTCCTTCTGACGAGTCGCTTGCTCAAATACTGCACCACCGATTCTGCATCGCTGTCCATCGGCTGCTGTGCTATTGCATGTTCTGCAAATCGTTAGGTTTGCGTTGGAGAGAGGGTAATGCTTCAAGGATCACAGCAACACATTTGCTCAGAGCGACTGGATGGTGGTTGTGACCCGTGATTTGGTGTGTTTTTCGGGAATAAACCAGGAGCATACCAAGAGCACATTCGAACCTGATACACAAAAACAACATCTCTGAGTGAGTTGTGTCCTTCTTGCCTGCAATTTTAATCTCAAAAAGAACAGGCTGCCCATTCCACAAACAAACGGATTTAAAAAACCTTCCAGCCACAGCAGCACATGATACCCGGCAGTAAAAAGTCTTATGAATTCTTGAGAAAGAAACTGAACATGCATCTCTCCCTTTCGCAGGCGCGACATTGCACTCTGCAGGGTGCTGCATTTTTTGGTCACTGGTAGCAGAAGTCTCCGGCCAACGTGGCAGTCGCTGTTGTGAGCAGCTCCTGTTGCGCCAGATGAGCTTGGCGCATTGAACCGTAGGCCCATCGCATTTCTACGGAACACATCCCATCAACGGTCCTATGTTTGTTCATTGTTGCCCGTATCATTTGACATGATGTTTGCCCCTAGTAAACTCCAGACTGCTCACAAACAATTCAAGGGTTTCACACCCCCAAAGTCTTTTTTTTCCCCTCGCCCTGCCGCATACTATACCTACCCCACATCTTGTCATTGCAGAGAAAAGCCCACGTCGCTGGTCCTCCGGGGGTGGCGTCTTTGGGCACTCTTGGGTGCAGCTTAGGTGCCTCACGTTGGCTTTGAGACATGCCACTGGGTTCAAACATTAAAGAAATGCCAACTATATAACCCACTGCACGATGAACGGACATGGGGATGTAAACACAAAAAAACACCAAACATATTCAAAAATGAAATTGAATACCCAGACAACTCAACTGCACCAGCTCTGCGCTTTAAGGCTTTGGATGTTCTATGATTTTCGTGGGGCAGCTTGCAATGCACCCGGTATGCCCGGTATGCCCGGTATGCCCCCATCAAAGATGGACAAACACATATACAGGTCAGTATCTCCACCTGCTCCGCACGTTTCTGTGAGAATTTGAATCACCTTAACTTAACCATACTTAACCCCATCCTTCTCGGTCCTGTCGTATGCCATCCTATCTTATCCTATTTGGATTTTGGCCTTTGGAACCCGGCTTTTCATCCAGTTGTCCATGCCTGATGGCGAGCCAATGTGCACAATCCAGGTGGATCATCCTCAGCACCACACGAATGTGACACATCAAGGACGAGAACTTATCAGAAAATTCCGAGATGGTGGCAAGAAATAACAGTGGCCAAAGTCTCAAGTCACAGGTAATTCTGATTGCTTTATCATACTTTATCGCCAAAAACCGAAACTACATTGACATGACAACCGCGAATGTGAGGAGTCCTGTCTTGATCTTTATACAACTATGGAAACACAAAAAACAACTTTCCGGAGCAAAACAACTTTCTGTACCAAGCTTGGGCCCAGTCAGCCAATAGCATGACTTGTTGAGGGTGTTGCCACATCGTCGCTGTTCATTTCATCCTTCATACTGAGACACAATGGTGGACCAACAGATCCATGTATACTCAGCAGAGAACGCCGCATGGAACATAGCACCAACCCACACTGACACCGTAAAAAAAAGTGGATTTGCACAACATGCGAAAAGCAGAGGCGGAGTCTAAAGTCTGCATGTCCCAAGCATGCTTGCCAATTTAGGCAACCTTCCACAGTGGTCACATGTCAAACGGATGGGGCGCACTTCCGCCTTCCTCAGGGTCTATATCAAAGCATTTCTGTCCCCGTTGAGAAATCGGCAGCTGCCAATCTCTGGGCGATTTTTCGAAGCCACATGAGATGCCAAAACTCATTCGCTGCCAGCTGTGGGCTAGCTCTGTTGGACGAGTCACGGTCTTATGCGTGCTCAAGAAGTCACAACATGCACGAAATTGGATACAATAATATCATATATTATATAAATTAAATAGATCTTCCAGAAACTGAAAGCAACAGTAACTAAAAAGATCTAAAAAGTCTCTTCATACAGCGTTGCGTCTGTGTCTGTTGCGCTGCCCTGGCCAAGGCTATCGACAAGACTTCCAGTTGCCTTTTCCACATTGGCCAAATTTCGCATCAGCATCTGAGCCATGAGCTTTCGAATTTGATCATCCATTCGCTCAAGGCTTCCCAACTCGGAGATGATGTAATCGAAGATGTCTTTCCTGACATGGTCCCAGCATGAACCCATGCAGCTCAAGGGTCGGGTGCTACTTTGTAGTTCAACAAAAACCATTGGTAGATGATCTCAAATAATTATATCACATCGAACTTGCGTTCTACTAAAGCTCCATCAGAAATGTGGCGTGCAGATTTGGCAATTTGGTTGGGTCGAGCGTCTTGTCTTTCTCAGAAGATGCCCCACACGTGGCAACTTGCAGAGACTTGATCTTCTTACCCACCTCCAACGCAATGTCAAAGGAGCTGCAGCCATCCTGCAGTGAAGGGCACGGAGGCATGTCATAGTATGATATAGATTGATTGATATAGTATGTCACGTCCCGAGTTTTGGCAACCATCCCGAACTAAATAGTCACGTTCACTTACCGAAAGTGAAGAGTTCCCTCATGCTCGACACATGTCGAATCACCTGACCGAACGGTTTTCTACCATTGTTTACCCTACACAGGCCTCTAGGGAGAACCTTGCAACAGTCTGGTCGGCAGGCAAGAACCAAAAATGAACAGGCCATTTGCCTTTCGCTACTTTTGCAACACATCAAGCCTTGCTTCTGACTTGCATAAACTCACAAACTTGACGACAAGCAACAGGCGTCAATTTGCCCACAACATGTGCACTGGCAACCCGGAAAAGACTTTGTTTGATTCATTGTTGATTCATGGACGGAAACAGCATTGGTTTCCAGTTCCACACACTTTGAGACAAAACTGCTTGTGCCAAGCAGCATCACCTATTACACCAACGTTGGTGACAAAAACCAACTCCAAGTGCTCCCGGCTGGACAGTAGAAATTCGAATAGACACCAAACTCCTTAGCGCGAAAGTGCGAAGAATTACAAAAGTACATTGCAGCTGAATCCCTGCACTTCTTGGCATGCCCAATATTTGGTCGAGTCACTTGTGAGAGGCTGCACTTCCTGGTCCAAGACCATCGCAACTCCTTTGATTCCCGCCGTCAAAGTTCGTGCAAAGGCGCTCTCCATGGGGTCACTTCCAAGTTCAGCTCCAATGTTCCACTGGTTGTTCGCCTGGGCAACATTCACAAACAGATCAAAACCCAGCTTTACAGGCTGCCTCGCACCAAAAGGAGAATGGAACATCCCCTGTTTTGCCACAAAAGTTCAAACATATCTTCAGCATGGAGGTCCATCTACCTACAACGGCATGATACGGCATGCATGCTCCACTGCCATGCTTTTGAAACAAGCATGAAACATCATGAAACAGTGGTGATGGGCTTCTCCTCCAAGTTGCGAACGAACAAATCCAATATGCTGCATTGACCCAAGAAGTGGGGCCCTCTTTGGACAGAGCATGGCACTGGATGGAATTGACGAAATGCGGAAAGCTGGTGCCCCAGGAATGGGACCTTACCCAGAGCACCAAGGAGGCTTGGAGCAGTTTGGACAGAGGGCGCACAAACAGTAGAGAAAAACACATCAATTTTGAAAACTTTACCAAAAGCAATGGTCAAGTGACACAAAGTAATCCACCCGCCTGCCACCCCAAAGAGTTACAAAGGAAACTCCTTTGCTTTGAGTCAGGGGCGTTACTATATTGGCGACCACAAAGTGCATATTGCGCTCCAGTATAAAGCCTGACTTTGACACGTTGGTCACGTTGGCACATAATTGTATCTTACAATCTTGCGCAGGCTTAAAGAAATAGACACATATTCAACCTGTCCAATCAGATCCCAGCATATGAAACAAACATAAACAAACTATGTCGGTAATGTTGGATGGACAATAGTAAAGCGCGCGCAATAGCTACAAATAATTTTCAGAATCCGATTTTTCAGCCCCTAGTGATTTTAAATTAGGCCTTATATAATTGATTTTAAATTACAGACATCAATCTTGGTCCAGAGCATCTGCAATAATTGTGCTGCATTCGCAATAGCTGCAAATAATTTTCAGAAAAATCCCACATTATCAGTTTTTCCAATACTAAATTGTCAAATGGCTAATTTATATTTAGCGAATGGTTTTTAATTGTGATTGCATGCTTTTCAAAAGCAAAAGCAAAGCAAACCTTTACCAAATCCAAAACTTTACCTTGTTCAAAAAAGCTGTTTTCATTATTAAAATCCTTTTAACAAATTGCAAACAACAGGTCCACAAAGGGTACCCCCTTGCAGGTCCTTGCATTTGCAATTAAAAAATGGAATTAGCACTTGCAATAAAAAACAACCTTTCTGGCTCTAGCTGTATTTGTTTCCCTCCTTCCTTTATTAAGATCCCTTGAAAAAATGCAAAAAGCAGGTCCACAAAGGGTGGCCTTTGCAGGTCTTTGCATTTGCAATAAAAAATTGGAATTAGCACTTGCAATTAAAAAAAAAACTTTCTGGCTCTAGCTGTATTTTTTCCCTTCTTCCTTGGTGTTTTTAATTGGAACCTTCACTATTTTCGCCACGAACTATGGCCCAACAAACCTTAGCTGGTCAGAGCAGAGAGGCTCTCGAAGTGCTTCCACAAACCGCGCAAATTCAGAACCTGCAAGCCCTGGTTGCGAGGATGGGTTGCATCAGGTCCTGTGAATGGCTTGCAGTTGATCTGCTTCCGGTACTCATCCAAAGCCTCCGAAAATGACGTTCTACGATATTGCCGTTGGATCAGCCACGCGATCGGAAAGTGCAGCAGCGCCGCAGCAGCAACCAGAGGAAGGGTCACATAAAATGCAGTAACCTTTGTCAAGAATCTCTTTTCCAAGCGAAACACAAGACATCACTTAAATTTGCAAAACAAAAACAAACAAATATCATAGAAACTATACAACAAAACAGCAGCTCGTTTCAAGCCAAAGTGGCGAAAACGTGCCCCACACCGTTTCCCGATGTGACTGCTACGTTGATGATGACAGGTAGCATTGCCGTCACTGATATGCATGCAGTGAGCAAGCCGAGCAGGTAAAAGAAATCAGCGGCGTGCAAAGATCCCTTGCACGAAGCGCAATCCAACGGGGGATTCGTGTCTTGCAACAGAAGCTTTCTGCGCGCAATATTGCTAACTTTGATTGCGTTGGACTTCTTCTGCTCATAGTCCAGCCATATCAACCCCGTTCCCTTTGCCCGATAGCGCACTCGCTGGTGCACCAAGCGAGACAGGCTTTTATGAAGATCAACGATAGGGCCTTGCACTGAAAGCGTGAAAGTCCTCTTGCTTTCCGCTTGTGTTGGATCTGCCAAATCTGACTTCGCATCGAGGATCGTCAAAGGAGCGCGCAAAATCTCGAATGCAAGGAAGGTCAAAATGACAACGACGGCTCCACCAGTCAAGAGTGTGATCAGCTCCGTCTTCTTGCGTGGCAGAACATGACAGACATCTTTTTTTCCATCAGACCAAGCATTGAAGATTCCACATTTTGGACAATCGCCATTCTGAAAGTGGAAGTGAGGCTTGCCTGAGCTATAATAACTGCTCAGTGGGTAGTCGGGGCTTAAAAAAAACGAATAAAAGTCACGAACACTAAACACGTCGCACATGGTCAACTGATCCATTAAGAGACGAGTTGCAAAACATGCACGTCTGGAAAATGCTTTCCAAGGGCACCATATCTACACCACGAAAGTGCTCGGTTGCAATCCTTCCGTCCGGCATCCGCGGGCTTCAAGCAGTGTTCAGCCCTAAAAAACTATCAAAAATTGAAGAGACAATTGGGGTGTTAAACTGTGTCTGGAAATCCGAGGTCTTCCAAATCTTGCAAAAGAATGGTTGATATGGCACATGGCTTAGATATTGATCAGCATGTGGACTTCGCATGGTTTCGCCCTTAAACCAATCGGTAGGAAAGCTAACACTGAGAAAAAGAAAAAGGAACCAGCGAGCTGAGGGACTGGTAGTTGGAACAATTGCAACGTTGCGTCAGGCCTTTGGACCTCAACGCGGTTTCCAGGAAATATCGGACATGCAACTTGGAACGTACAAAACACTTGTTAGACATATGAGTAGCAACAAACTACACCTGAAACGTCTATCGTTCTATGAAAACAGGAAATCCGTTTTAGCACATGGAGTAGAAATTGGGGAGGCTGAAGAATTTGAAAATAACTAATGCGAGTATCAACAAACATACATCATACGACTAAGCTGGTGGTAAGGGAGAGCCAACACTTGTGACACCAAGTGGCGCTGTGACGGTCTTGGAGCATTTGAGATATTCAGAGCTCACGGCTTTCAGACTTCTGTCCTTCGTAGCGTTGAAAGTCACGCCCCATGGGCAGTTCCGGCAGGAAACCGTCAAAGAGTTGATCTCAAAGCCATCCTGCTGCGACTTTAGTTCAACAAGTTGCTGACCTTCAAACATGACGCAATTTAATTGGAAACCATAGTCCAGAGACAAACATACCTTGGTCCGACCTGCCAGGACTACTTTTTCTGACAGGTGGGTCAAAATCAGCTTAAAGAAGCCGTTCGTCTCACCTGACACCCTTGAGCCCGTCCTTGGCAGCCAGGACCTGCAAATTGTCGATAGGTGGTTCATAGTCGATAGTCACTTGGTCGATTATCACAGAACTGGGCCGGGTGCTGAGCAACGCGCTGGACCAGGAGTGCAGGTGGATGCCTGACAGACGTACCTTCTCCTTTGGGCAGGATGCAAGGGAGAGAAAGCCGGAGCTCAAGCGGCCACTGGCGTTGAGGGCTGCATCCGTTGCAACATGGAAGGTGCTGTTTGAGCAAACGTCAGAGCATCCACTATCACTATTTTGCAGCTCCACCCCGTGGCCACCAAGGGCATCTTCAAAAAGAACCTGCGACCGATCACGCAGGTGGAGGCAACCTGCAGTTAGCACGCTGGAATTGTCGAGACCTTGGGCATGTGTCACCGCCAAGTTGGACTGTGCTGAAAGAAGCACTTGACCATCTGCACGACCTGCAGAGCCGGATCCGAGTGCAGTGGAGTTGCTGATGGACATCGAGCTTCTGTGCAAAGTCAAACCAAGCACAGAAAAAGCACCACCATCTGCCCCGGCATCGGTGCTGAACATGGCCACTGTAGAATCCTGGATAACCGCGACTCCTTCAGCACTGAACCCTCCACCAATCTCCTGGGCTGTGGCATTTTGGATGCTGACGGTGGACCTGCTGATCAAGGTCTTGCCTTTGGCATAGAATCCTCCTCCATGCCTTCCAGCTGTCGCATTCCGAATGACGAGCCTTGAGCCGGTGGACACCTTCAAGCCCTTCCAAGTGTACAAACCTCCTCCATCTCCTGATTCAGCGCGGCTGTTGGACATGTTTACAGTTGAGTTCAGGACTATCTCAACCTCTCCAACGGCATAGAATCCTCCTCCATACTCCTGCGCAATCACGTTCTGAAGGCTGACAGCTGAGCTGTTGGCCACTCGCAGGAGTTTTCTGGTTGAGAAGCCACCGCCAAATCTCGATCTTGAAGTGGAAATGCTGACGCTTGACATCTCATCGATGAAAACCTCATCAAATGCACGAAACCCTCCACCAATCTCCTGGGCCGTGGCATTTTGGATGCTGACGGTGGACCTGCTGATGGTGGTCTTGCCTTTAGCAAAGAATCCTCCTCCAGAATTTCCAGCAGTCGCACTGCGAATGATGATCCTTGAGCCGTTGGACACCTTCAAGCCCTTTTCAGTGTCAAAACCTCCTCCATCTCCTGCTTCAGCGCGGCTGTTGGAAATGTTGATCGTCGAGTTCCCAGCTATCTCAACCTCTCCAAGGGCATCGAAACCTCCTCCAGACTCCTGCGCAATCACGTTCTGAAGGCTGACAGCTGAGCTGTTGGTCACCTGCAAGCGCTCGTCCGTATGGAAGCCTCCACCCTGTCTCGATCTTGAAGTGGAAATGCTGACGCTTGACATCTCATCGATGACAACTTCGTCAACAGCACAAAACCCTCCACCAATCTCCTGGGCTGTGGCATTTTGGATGCTGACGGTGGACCTGCTGATGGTGGTCTTGCCTTTGGCATAGAATCCTCCTCCATGCCTTCCAGCTGTCGCACTGCGAATGATGAGCCTTGAGCCGTTGGACACCTTCAAGCCCTTTTCAGTGTCAAAACCTCCTCCATCTCTTGATTCAGCACGGATGTTGGAAATCTTGACTGTCGAATTCCCAGCTATCTCAACCTCTCCAAGGGCATTGAAACCTCCTCCATGATTTCCAGCAGTCACGTTCTGAAGGCTGACAGCTGAGCTGTTGGTCACCTGCAAGCGCTCGTCCGTATGGAAGCCTCCACCCTGTCTCGATCTTGAAGTGGAAATGCTGACGCTTGACATCTCATCGATGACAACCCCATCAGATGCACAAAATCCTCCACCATTCCGCTTGGCCGTGGCATTTTGAATGCTGACGGTGGACCTGCTGATGGTAGTCTTGCCTTTGGCATAGAATCCTCCTCCATGCCTTCCAGCTGTCGCACTGCGAATGATGATCCTTGAGCCGTTGGAGACCTTTCAAGCCCTTTTCAGTGTCAAAACCTCCTCCATCTCTTGATTCAGCACGGCTGTTGGAAATCTTGACTGTCGAATTCCCAGCTATCTCAACCTCTCCAAGGGCATCGAAACCTCCTCCATGCTTCTGCGCAATCACGTTCTGAAGGCTGACAGCTGAGCTGTTGGTCACCTGCAAGCGTCTGTCCGTATGGAAGCCTCCGCCAAAATGGGCCGTGGCATTTTGGATGCTGACGGTGGACCTGCTGATGGTGGTCTTGCCTTTGGCAAAGAATCCTCCTCCAGAATTTCCAGCAGTCGCACTGCGAATGATGAGCCTTGAGCCGTTGGACACCTTCAAGCCCTTTTCAGTGTGAAAACCTCCTCCATTTTTTGCTTCAGCTCGACTGTTGGAAATCTTGATCGTCGAGTTCCCAGCTATCTCAACCTCTCCAAGGGCATCGAAACCTCCTCCAGACTCCTGCGCAATCACGTTCTGAAGGCTGACAGCTGAGCTGTTGGTCACCTGCAAGCGCTCGTCCGTATGGAAGCCTCCACCATGTCTCGATCTTGAAGTGGAAATGCTGACGCTTGACATCTCATCGATGACAACTTCGTCAACAGCACAAAACCCTCCACCACTCTCCTGGGCTGTGGCATTTTGGATGCTGACGGTGGACCTGCTGATGGTAGTCTTGCCTATGGCATAGAATCCTCCTCCATGCCTTCCAGCTGTCGCACTGCGAATGATGAGCCTTGAGCCGTTGGACACCTTCAAGCCCTTTTCAGTGTCAAAACCTCCTCCATCTCCTGCTTCAGCACGGCTGTTGGAAATCTTGACTGTCGAATTCCCAGCTATCTCAACCTCTCCAAGGGCATTGAAACCTCCTCCATACTCCTGCGCAATCACGTTCTGAAGGCTGACAGCTGAGCTGTTGGTCACCTGCAAGCGTCTGTCCGTATGGAAGCCTCCGCCAAAATGGGCCGTGGCATTTTGGATGCTGACGGTGGACCTGCTGATGGTGGTCTTGCCTTTGGCAAAGAATCCTCCTCCAGAATTTCCAGCAGCCGCACTGCGAATGATGATCCTTGAGCCGTTGGACACCTTCAAGCCCTTTTCAGTGTCAAAACCTCCTCCATCTCCTGCTTCAGCACGGCTGTTGGAAATCTTGACTGTCGAATTCCCAGCTATCTCAACCTCTCCAAGGGCATTGAAACCTCCTCCATACTCCTGCGCAATCACGTTCTGAAGGCTGACAGCTGAGCCGCTGGTCACCTGCAAGCGCTCGTCCGTATGGAGGCCTCCGCCAAATCTCGATCTTGAAGTGGAAATGCTGACGCTTGACATCTCATCGATGACAACCTCATCAGATGCACAAAATCCTCCACCATTCTGCTTGGCCGTCGCATTTTGAATGCTGACGGTGGACCTGCTGATGGTAGTCTTGCCTTTGGCATAGAATCCTCCTCCATATTTCCCAGCAGCCGCATTCCGAATGATGAGTCTTGAGCCGTTGGACACCTTCAAGCCCTTGTCAGTGTCAAAACCTCCTCCATTTCCTGTTTCAGCACGACTGTTGGAAATCTTGACTGTCGAATTCCCAGCTATCTCAACCTCTCCAAGGGCATTGAAACCTCCTCCACTGCCTTCTGTGGTCACCTTCTCAAGGCTGACAACTGAGCTGTTGGCCACTCGCAAGCGTTTTCTGGTTGAGAAGCCACCTCCGTTTTTTGTGGATCTCGCATTCTGAATGAAGATCATTGAGTTGTCCTGACCCAATAAGCAATCGCACAAGGGTCAGTTGAGAGAACAAACAAATCAATAGAGATATGTCTTTCACAGCAACATGTCCCTGGGAGTAAAAGAAATTCATGGGAACTTTCAATGCTGTGAATAAGACTGTTTACACAGCTCTCCAGCATGGCAGCGAATGCACTGAGTGCCCCACAAAAACGTAAGCATCTCCCATGACAACGAAGCCAGCACCAGACTTTGCTGAAACGTTCTCGATCACGACTTCAGAGTCTTGGAACACACTCCTTGGGCACAGAATGTCATTTCATTGAAGGCATGAACATCACAAGGGTCATACGCACCACAACACAATGAATATTACATCTTGTATGCCAAGAGCATCCAGAAAAGCATTCACATGTTCTTGGCGTATGCAACAAGGGAAGCACCAACAATCTCTTACCTCTCCGCTGCGTTGACATGCTTTGGCTCCACTCTCATTCTCTCTGTGATCAGCAAAACCTTTACAGCTTCCACATTCATTTTCCCATGGACAACAAACGATGACAAACCCCCTTCTGCAATCCATGACCTTTTTTGAATTCGACTGTGTCACGTGCTGCTCCTTAGTCAGCCTGCCTTCCTAAAGGATCTAAGGATCTCCTAGTGCTGCACCGTTGACCACAGCTCCGTCGCATGTGCCATGAATTTCACAAATCCATTTTTGGAAAAACATGTCCAACAAAAATTGACATGCCGGAAGATACGGAAAATTGTGTCTCAAAAGAAAGGTGAAATGCCAGAAGATACTGAAGTGCCCAAGGCCCAAGCGACAATCTAAAACTCAAGCCCTAGCGTCTCTGGCAGAATGAACACTTCCTACGAGTAGCTGGCACGTTCTCACCATGTTGTGGTGACATGGAATTTCCTCAGCAAATATATAATGAATGCATGTGGATCCAAAACTGACAAATTACTGGATCAGAAATTCTCAGATACCACCATGTGTCATAGCCCATCTACATCCAACGACTACACCTGCTCTCTGCAATGCCCAGGGTCAGGTCTCCGCCCGCTGCGAAGCCACCACCATCTGCCGCTGCAGAGCCTCTCACCTTCGTTGGATGTTGCATCACATGGGTATCTGCAGCATGTCTACTGATCAACAACTTCTAGACCATATCCAGGTCCAAAGACCATGCATCTCCACGAACTTCATCCAACTTCCAAGTCCATGTCTGACACCGGAAATTGAAAGCCTGGTTGCCAAAACAATCCAAGGAGCAGTCAGTCGGGACCTGGTCAAAGTGAATGACCCCACGCTGAAAAAGGCGCCACCAGTTGCGGTAGAGTTTGGATCCGATGGACCTTCATGCCACGCTTCCACGTGAGCATCTGCAAAGTTCACAGTCCTCACTCAGCTGATTTTTTTGCAGAAAAAAAATCTGGTCTCACATGGTACTCTGAACTCTGAATGCTTAAATACATCCAACTCCAACTCCCGTGCCATTCTCGGCGCGTCTTTGTGAAGCATTCTATATAAGAAAACATTTTGTTACATACAACAACCGCAACAGGCTCTGAACCTGCTGAGTTCAGCCCCTTGTGCAGGCAGGGTTCTTGGCTGCCAGGCGGAGCGACGTCATCTGAATTTGCCTTGGGAGCTTTCGAAGTTTCTGCACTGAATCCAGCGTGTCAAAATTTACCTGGGGTAGGTTGTTAGCAGAACATGCGATGCCTTGGTTAACATCTGATGTAGATTGTTGACACCCAACAAGATACTCCGCTATATGAAGAGCGAAGCCAGCTAGGCACTTCAAGACGGCCAAAAAACAGTAAACTGGTTTGTTGGCGATCCAACTTGAGTGCCTCCCAACTTCCCCACCTCAGCATGATCGAACGCCTCGGAGCTGAATTCCTGCAAGGCACCCGGTGATGCGTAGCTCCCCAGATCTCAAGGTCAAAATCCCGGCAGTCGCTGGTCGCAGCTGTGCCGGTGCCCCATGGGGCCCTTGCAGCTCGCAGGGTGGAGCTGCCGCTGTGGGCCTCGGTTTTTGCACGGCTCCGAGGTTTCTGCAGGCACCCTACATTGATAAAATTGTAAGCATATGTCTTCAAACCATTGAAGCCTTCAGCATTCTTCAGCGCAATACTCCCCATACATGTCGAAAAAACTTTGGCCCAACAATGACTTTGCCAACCTGCAACAAACCCATCAATTCCCCCCTGTGACAGAGCCACTCGAGTTGAAAGCACGCCCCGGCCGTCAACTTCTTCCGTTCGCAAAGTTCGACCCAGCCAATCGCCTCACAGTCCTGCAAGTGGGGACTGCACAAAACCTGCACAACTTGGTGATGTGTGTCTCCAGCAATTATGCCTGGAAGATACCCAAAGACATCATATAACAGAATCGTCAGAAATATCCTAACATGTCAGTCTTGAAATTTCCAGGACTGTATATAAATAGAAAAAACATTAAAACATATGAAAAATCACACAGAACACGCCGAAACATCGAATTATTACTGTGCACTGCACGGCCCGCCTGCAGATGTCTGGCACTAGCTCCATCTGCCGGATGGGGCACAGGGTGGCTACCTTGCAGGGTGGCAAAGCAAATCCAACAGTCCAAGCAAACAAAGCTGACAGGACAAGATTCTTGTGCGTCCGGTGGCACCAAGCCTTTTCACCAAATAAACAATTAGTGGAAGTTGTTAGTGGCAAGTTGCAGCTTCGGTTGATGGCCAATTAAGAGACAAACTTCACTGGCTAAAGACAAAGTAGATATTGTGGCAAGGCAACACATCAACAGGTGTCTGTTGCATAGTCTGGCATCTAATGATATATTGAATATGTTATGCAATCTCCACAACTTACGAGGAGGTAGGAACCTTGTTCCAAAGAAACGGCCTGGTCCGAGCCCGGCATCTGGGCAGTCTGGCGCATGAACTCAACTGCTTGGTAGCAACCACCACCAAGCCCCGAAAACCGCAGCCGAGGTGCTCTCCTGTCCAGTGAACGTGCTCCGCTTCGAGACACGCAGCTCAGCAGAGGCACAAACGAAGAGAAACGTCGCCAAGAGCAACTGCATGGCGCATCATGGCATTTCAAGCGGTATATTGTGGCACTTCATGTGCGAAAAGGATGCCATCATGCCATCGAGCACAACCATCATAGCTGGTGAAGAGCAGGCGTTCTGCTCACCGTATTTCATGGTACATGTTGTTGGATGTTGATTGCTGCATCATATTGTTCAATATTCTGTGATGGCTCATGTCCATGTGCTCATCTGGCTGATTCAGCTGGTGTAGCTGTCTATCATATCTAACATTCAGGACAGGTGGACGCCAAGCAATGGAGCTGTGATACACCGGCTATGGGTTGCACATGGTTGCACAGTACTGCAGAAGTTCTTGAGCAGTGCAACTAAATTGTTGAAGTTTCAAAACATTGAGCCGGGCGCGGCATGCTCATGTCAACTACAAGAGCCACTAAAGGATGAGGCAAGGGCAAGTTGACCCTGTCCAATGAAACTTCAGGCAGTAGGTTCCAGGACGGCCCTTACACCCATTGAAAAACAACAACGACGCTCCAGCTGCTGGCGTTCCTGAAGCATGGGAAAATGATGAGGATCGGATAATCACGGTGATGGCCTGAGGAGAAAAAGAAAGCCATCAGTGTCAGCATACATTTCCTTTTGCCGAGTCGCGTGCTCAAATACTGCACCACCACTTCTGCATCGCTGTCCGCCGGCTGTTCTTCAAATTGTTATAGGCTTGGGTTGGAGAGAGACGGTAATATTTCAAGAGTTTCAAGGCATTTGCTCTGAGTGACCCATGATTTGAGCGAGTTATCCAGCAACTAACCAGGAGCACATTGATCCACCGGACCAAAAACATCTCTAGTGAGTTCCGTCCTTGCCTGCAGACTTGATCTGAAAGGCGGCCCGTTCCACAAACACAACATGACTCATGAGATCCGAGGAAACCTTCAAACCACGCGTGTGGCCACAAGCTCCGAAAAATAAACCATATTGAATCAAGCATCATATCCCATAGGATCCATGTATGCCATATATGGTAACATTTACCATCAATATACCCCCAATGTTAGCATATATACCATACATGGATCCTATGGGTATTTAAATGAACTATAATATACATGATGCTTCCAACGAGAATCAAGAAGCTCGAAACACGCTTGCGCCTGAACATCTTGAAATCCGCTTTCAATTCCACTTACAATACGAAGTCAAAACTACTCAAGCGCGACATGACAATCTGAGCAGCTCCTGCTGCAGTGGATGAGAACATCATGGTTCGGCTCAATTGTTTTGCTCCAGGTTGCTGTTCAAGGGCAATCAATGGACATCCTTTGGTGTCCTGAAAGTGCGAAACATGACCATGCACATCTGGAAACAATACCACAGATAGGATTTATTTCTCATCATTAAAAGACTTAATAGGTATAGGATGGTATAGAATCGTATAGATATACCCCATTCCTATAAGACTAACCCCCTGTTTAAAAAATAGCGTCGTTGGTTAAAGCATGTCAAACTTCATGTGATGGTTGTTGTCTGCAAGCCTCAGGTGTTTATCATCGTTTCTATTGTGATTGTGTCCCGCTGTGTCCCAGTCATTATTCCTATATTGTTTATTCAATAATTATCATAATATCATTGTTGCAATAACTATGCCCTAAGGACCCCAACCTGCTCATGGGGTCAACGCTTGCACCTCCCAAGTGTTTTTCCCTCACCCCGGCCGTTACACCGACTCGTCGTTACAGAAAAAAAACACGTCGCCGATCCTGGGGGTGGCGTCTTTGGCCACTCTTTGGTGCAACGCTGCGGCCACAGCTTTGGGCGCCTGACGCCTATGTGAGAACTGCCACTGAGTGGGTTCATCATTCGCCACAAAGACGGAGGTCAACTCGGCACATGGACAGGGAAATACACATGAAAGCGATATGGTGAGATGAAAAAACATGGAGATGTAACCAACAAAAATGGGGGATAACCCAACATTAGTGGGTATAGCCTAGCACAGGCTCAATAATGTCAAATTTCATTACGCAGCTTCTTATAACCGCTTTCTCAATGAGAAGGTTCCAACTCCGATCTACGCATCTATAAGTGGCCTGATCCTAAGCCTATATCCTATCCTGCTTGGTCCTGCCCTATGCCATCCCATCCCATTGTCCAAATATTGGTGGCCTTCGGAGCCAGACTTTCCATCCAGTTGTCCCTGCCTGATGGCGTCACTGTGCACAATCCAGGTGGACGATCAGAGAGAACCACACCCATGCCTGACAACATGCCGGAAAACAAAAGCCTCAATGTGAAGCCAACAAAGAACGGTGGCCAAAGTCATTAAAGTTAGATGTGATTCTGATTGTGAAAATTCCAAATGTGATGAGTGGCGGCGGCTCTCTGCCATGTGCATAAATTTGGAAAAAGGGAAACCCCTGTCGAAGTGCAGTCAATAATGTCCATCTGTTTGGGATCGTGCCCCCTTTCCAGCTTAGGTTCCCGCCAGCCATAGAGCATGACCTGTTGAAAGTTTTCCAGGCAGGGGTTCCTGACTTCTGAGATGCTTTAATTCTGTCAAATGTGCAGGTGAGGGCAAAAAAATGTATTTTTCGGTTCAAGCCGCGTCAAGCATTGCAAAACGCGTTGAGCAACCAGCAGCACAATCTTTGGGTTGCTGGTCGAACAGCTATGACATGCCAGAACTGATTCACTGCTAGTTGCTCAAGTGGGTTAACTCCATTGGACGAGTCACGGTCTTGTGCGTGCTCAAGAAGTCACAATGTGTACAAAATTTACTGTAATTTGAATAGATCTGGAGGATTCCTGAAGCAACATGTGATTGAAAACACTCTTCATTCAGAGTCACGACTGGGCCCAGGCTGTCCACAAGATTTCCCGTTGCCCGTTCCACGTTGGACAGATTTCGCATCAGCATTTCAGCCATGAGCGCTCGAATTTGTTTATCCATCCGCCTGAGGCTCCCTAATTTGGAGATGATGAAATCGAAGATGTCTTTCCTGACATGGCCATCATGGCCCCAGCGTAAACCTATGCGCTTCAAGGGTTTTGAGGGCCGAATAGCCGAAACATCCAAAGGGTCTGACCAACACAAATGATCTCAATAGCATTCAATAGCCACATCAAAGTCATAGTATGTTTCCAAAGAAATGGTCCATGACGGTCCCAACACAAAGACAACTCCACTTCAACGAGAAATGAGGCGCGAGAACTTGGTTGAAATCGAGTTTCTTGTCCTTTTCTGAAGATGCCTCGCATTTGGCAACTTGCAAAGATTTGATCTTCTTGCCCACTTCCAACGCAACGTCAAAGGAGCTGCAGCCATCCTCCAGCGAGAGGGCACGTTGACATGTCATTGTATGTTGATATGATATAATACAATATAATACAATATAATACAATATAATACAATAAGATACAATATAATACAATATAATACAATATAATATAATAACCTATATTAAAATACAATATAGTACAATATAATACAATAAAATACAATATAATATAATAAACCATAATATAATATAATAAAACATAAATACTTTACTTCGTGTGATCCCCACCATGACATTTATACATTTTCTTACTGGCAAATCTTCTGGCATTCTATCTGACATATCTTCTGACATTCTATTTGGCATTCTATCTGGCATATCTTCTGGCATATGATCTGGCATATATGTTCTGGCATATCTTCTGGCATTCTATCTGGCAAATCTTCTGCCATTCTATCTGGCATATCTTCTGGCACTCTATCTGACATATCTTCTGGCATTCAATCTGGCATCTATCTGGCATATCTTCTGGCATATTTTCTGGCATTCTATCTGGCAAATCTTCTGGCATTCTATCTGGCATTCTATCTGGCATATCTTCTGGCATATTATCTGGCATTCTATCTGGCATATCTTCTGGCATATATTCTGACATATCTTCTGGCATTCTATCTGGCATTCTATTTGGCATTCTATCTGGCATATCTTCTGGCATATCTTCTGACATTCTTTCTGACATTCTTTCTAACTTTCTTTTGCACATTCTTTGTCCCATATCTTCCTACATGAGGTCCGGCAGGGAACACTTGGCATGGATACCCGCGGTTGAGGTCCGGCAGGGAACACTTGGCATGGATACTCGCAGATGAGGTCCGGCAGGGAACACTTGGCATGGATACTCGCAGATGAGGTCCGGCAGGGAACACTGGGCGTGGCTGGTCGTGGTTGAGGTCCGGCAGGGAACACTGGGCGTGGCTGGTCGTGGTTGAGGTCCGGCAGGGAACAGAGACTGTGGATCGCGGGTCGCAGTTGGACGAGGACGACAGAGGACGACGAGGACCGACGAGACGACGAGGACGACAAGGACGACAAGGATGACAAGGAGGACGAGGAGGACGAGGAGGAGAGGAGGAGGAGGAGGAGGACGAGGAGGAGGAGGAGGACGAGGAGGAAGCAACTGACATAAAATCTAACAACCCTCACCTGGCAGGTGGGGAAAAACATAATATAATATAATATAACATAACATAACCTAATATAATATAAACTAATATTATATAATACAATATGTTATAATATAAAAATAAAATATAATATAATAATATACAATAAAAAAAATATAATAAACTATAATATAATATAATAAAACATAAAATAACATAATATAATATAATATAATAACATATAATATATTATAATATATTATAATAAAATAAAATAAAATATAATATAATATAATATTGTATAATATAATATAATGAAATACATCATAATATTAAAAAATATAATATAATATAATAATAAATAATATAATAAAATACAATATAATATATAAAATAAATATAATATAATATAATACAATAAAATACAATATAATATAATAAACTATAATATAATATAATAAAACATAATATAATGTAATTTAATAACATATAATATACTATAATATATTATAATAAAATAAAAAATAATATAATATATAAGTAGTGCCGCACAAGGCGGTGGCGGAAGTTTCTAAAAAAGGAAACCTATAGGAGAGGTTGGTTGTTGTGAATCACGGATGGCAGGGCGAAGCCACTGATGGACTGAAAGGTGATTGATCTCTCTCAGTCTTTCTCTCTCTTTCTCTCTCTTTCCCTGATTTTCTACCTACCTACCTACCTACCGATCTATCTATTTGTCTATCTGTCTATCCATCTATCTATCTATCAAACTATCAATCGATCAATCAATCAATCTATCTATCTATCTTTCTTTCTTTCTATCTATCAATCTATCTATCCATCTATCTCATCTATCTCATATATCTCATATATCTATCTATCGATCTATCTATCCATCTAGCTATCTATCTATCTATCCATCCATCCATCTAGCTGTCTATCTATCTATCTCTCTATCTATCTATCTATCTAATCTAATCTAGTCTAATCTAATCTAAACCAACTATCTATCTATCTATCCATGCATCCGTCCATCTATCTATCTAACCAAACCATGCTTCTATCTATCTAATCTAATCTAATGTAATCTAACCGAATCCTATCTAATCTAGTCTAATCTATCTATCTTTCTACCTACCTACGTATCTATCTATCTATCTATCTATCTATCTATCTATCTATCTATCTATCTATCTATCTATCTATCTATATGTCTATCCATCTATCTAATCTAATCTAACCCAATCTAAGTAAATCTAATCTAATCTAATCTGATCTAATCTTATCTATCTATCTATCTATTTATCTACCTATCTATCTATCTATTTATCTATCTATCTATCTATCTATCTATCTATCCGTCTATCTATCTATCACTCTATCTAGCTATCTATCTATCTATTTAACTATCCATCTAGCTGTCTTTCAATCTTTCCATCCATCTTTCTATCTATCTATCTATCTATCTATTGATCTATCGATCTATCTATTTATCTACCTATCTATCTATCTGTCTTTCTATCTATCTATCTTAATATCTATCTACCTATCTATCTACCTATCTATCTATCTATCCATCTATCTATCTTTCTATCTATCGATCGCTCTCTCTGTCTATCTATCTATTTATCTGTCGATTTATCTATCTATCTATATCCATCTAGCTGCCTACCCATCTTCTATCTATCTTTGTATCTATCTATCTATCTATCTATCTATCTATGTATCTACCAATCGATCGATCGATCGATCTATAAATCTATCTATCTATTTATCTATCTATTTATCTATCTATTTATCTATCTATCTACCTATCTACCTACCTACCTACCTAT